ATCTCCAGTGGAAAATGTGGTTCAATAATGAGGCTAAAAATATAGAAATACAATGGAGAGATAAAAGAATACAAGTGTGGGGTTGGGGATTTAGCTCAGGGGTAGAGCGCTTGCCTAGCAAGCGCAAGGCCCTGGGTTCGGTCCTCAGCTCTGGAAAAAAAAAAAGGAATACAAGTGTGCCAGGATCAGCTTATTGGAGAAGCCAATATGCTTCAGTACAAACACAATATTTATATGATGTCCAAACCCTAATTCTATGTTGAACGTCAGCCTTGAATGCATGGGACAGAGTTGAGGAACCAGAAAAAAAAAACTGAGTCATTTACAAAGGTTATACAGGGCCCAGAGGAATCTTTCACAGATTTCTTACAAAGATTGACTTCAGCAGTAAAGAGAATGGTCCCAGATTCAGAAGCTAGTCAGATAATAATTGAATCTTTGGCCTTTGAGAATGCAAATGCAACATGCAAAAGAATAATCAGCCCATTAAAGGCAAGATCTGCACCTTTGGAAGATTGGATTAGAGACACGGTTAATGTTGAGGCTTATGACCAAGATGATATGTGGGTAGGAGAAGCAATTTCAAAAGGTTTAAGGAATGTTAGATGTTTTGGATGTGGAAAGCAAGGACATTTGAATAGGGACTGTAAACAGGTCATTCCTAGAAACAATGTTTCTTCAAGGAAGAATGGCAACAGAATGCCCCTTCCTTCTGGAGTATGCAGAAGGTGTGGTAAGGGAAAACACTGGACGAATGAATGTAGATCTACAAGGGACAGGCAAGGTAATCCTTTGCTTCGAGCTTCAGGAAACTCCCAGAGGGGCCTCAGGCAGAACCCCACAGTAAGTCCAGTTCAAACCTTTACTGCAGTTGTAGAGGAAACCCCTAGTCAAAGCAACTTAATAACCAAATGCCTATTGTAATAAATCATGTTGGTCGAGATAATGAAACAGAGAGAATAGAAAATTCAGGAAAAAACATAAAGAAAATTTTTTGGCAAACTTCTATTAATGAAGAAAGACCAAAACTAACAATAAAAATAAATGTTGTTTTTTTGTCTGGCCTGGTAGACTCAGGTGCAGACATTACCATAATTGCACCAGAATTTTGGCATCCAACTTGGCCTCTTCAGGAGGTAAACATTCAACTGTTAGGAATTGGGACATTATCTCAGGTGAAACAGAGTGCAAGATGGCTTGAATGTATAGGTCCAGAAGAACAGAGAGGAAAATTAAAACCATATATGACTAACATAGCTATGAATCTGTGAAGTCGAGACTTGTTTCAATGAAATACTCAGATTAATATCCCTCCAATCTCAGAAACAAATCATAAACTAGGACATGTTTCTGAGAGAAATATTAGAAGATATTATTCTAATGAGTGGTCACCAGCCATCCATGTCATACAAGAACAGGGCACAACAACTGATAATCTTCCAAAAACATCAAGAGCTCTACCTTTAAAATGGTCAACAGACAAGCCTGTATGGGTTCAGCAATGGCCTTTAACAACAGAGAAATCCAGGCTCTAGAAGAGCTGGTAGAAGAACAGTTAAATGCTCAGCATATTGAAGAATCAACGAGCCCTTGGAATTCTCCTGTATTTGTTATTAAAAAGAAATCTGGTAAATGGAGAATGGTAACAGACCTTAGAGCAATTAACAAAGTAATTCAGCCAATGGGCTCTCTACAATCTGGAATTCCTTTGCCTACTCTGTTACCAAAAGGATGGCCTCTCATAGTTATTGATTTAAAAGACTGTTTCTTTTCAATACCCTTACAAGAAAAAGACAGAGAAAGATTTACTTTCACAGTGCCTACTTAAAATAATTCTCAACTGGTTAGAAGATTTCAATGGAGGGTTCTCCCACAGGGAATGTTGAATAGCCCAACTCTGTGCCAATATTTTGTACAACAGCCTTTGGAAGTGGTACGTAAAAAACTTCCTAAATCTATAATTTATCATTATATGGATGATATTTTACTAGCTGACTCAAATGTAGATACTTTAGAAAGAATGTTTGAAGAAGTAAAGAAAATTTTGCCTTGCTGGGGATTACAAATTGCTCCTGAAAATATACAAAGAGGTGATTCTATTAATTATTTAGTATATAAAATAGAACTACAAAAAATTAGACCCTAAAAGGTGCAAATTAGGAGAGATCGACTACAGACTCTTAATGACTTTCAAAGATTATTTGGAGACATTTCTCATCTAAGAACTATTGTTGGGGTAAAAAATGATGAACTGAATAATTTGTTTAAAACCTTAGAAGGTGACAAGAACTTAAGTAGTCCAAGAGAATTATCACCTGAAGCTGAGAAAGAATTGGCCTTGGTAGAAAAGAAAGTACATGAAGGGCATGTGGATTGTATTGATCCAAAGCTGGATTGCATTTTGGTTATTTTACCTTCTAGGCATTCTCCAACAGGAATATTAATGCAGAGGGAAGATATTATATTGGAATGGATATTTTTACCAAATAAACCAAATAAAAAATTAAAAACTTATGTGGAAAAAATCTCTGACTTGATTTGGAATGGAAAATTGAGATTTTGTCAATTAGCAGGAATAGGCCCAGCAGAAATTGTCGTACCTTTAACTAAGGAGGACATTGAAAAATTATGGATAGAAAATGAAGCTTGGCAAAAAGCTTGCAGTAATTTTTTGGGAGAAATTAACAGCAAACATCCCAAAAGTGATAGAATTGATCTTATAAAGAGAGCTGATTGGATCGAATTGTGTGGTGTAAAACCATATCTGGAGTTCGTACATTTTATACAGATGCCAGCAAACAAGGAAAGGCAGGTTACACATCTGAAAATTTAAGTAAGGTGGTTCAAAGTCCTTATAATTCAGTTCAAAAATCAGAATTGTATGCTATTCTCTTGGTATTAATGGATTTTCCAGAACCTCTCAATGTTGTAACTCGATTTACATTGGATTGGATTGTTTTATGTTGTATACAAAATATATATTGAAATTTATGTTGTTAGAAAATGCTATATGTATATTTCTGATTGTGCTTTTACTGTTCATTTAACATGTAATGCAATTTTCCGATCCTTCAAGGTTGTTATTACCAACTATTAGGATATAAAGAAATGAAAATTAGTGGTTAGACATTATAATAGAACTTGTAGTCATATTAGATATGTTTTCAAGATTGAGTAGATATATTTTAGATAGACAGGTTATCTTCAAACCCTTCAGAGATCTACAGAATATGACATTTAAAATGTTTTAATAACTTAGAAAATTTTTCTTTTTTGTTATGACTATGAGACATGTCGGCTCCTGGCAGTACCACTCTACTTCAGAGAAAATATTGGCATTGAAAAAACTGCAATTGGAGTTAACTTTCATTGTGGCAAAAGTTAGCCACTGGACAACAAAGTATCCTCGAATCAACTGCCAAACAGGACAGACAGGACACGAAACAAAGGACTAATGATTCTTGTCAAAACAAGTGTGGTTATGGCTTTATCAAAAGGCATCTAATGAGGCCAGGACAATATGGCACCATCTCTGAAGTGGCCTTCACAATCCGGGAAAGGTACAGTGCCCTTTTCTTTGAAGGCAGCTGAACAGGCAGTGGGCCGATGGGTTCTGAAGTGCAATGGGACAGTAGATGAAACAGTTATTCTTGAAGAGTAATTACGCTCACACCTCTCAATAGTAGAATGGCGTTTAGTAGAGGGATGTGAAGAAGAATGGGATGCTGAGATGAAGCCACATACACACACAGCCAAGAAGAATGGACAGCTGAATTAAAAAAAATCAACAATTTCCAGAATTTAAAATCCTGGATCATGACATGACACTAGTGGAATTCAGGTGTTTCTGGTATATAGACTGCTCTCACCCAATGTGAGGTTGAACTGTTGACCTTGTGTATGTCCTACTTCACATATGAGTCTGTCAGATATGCTAAGCCTATAGGCTGAAGATGATGCTCCAACACTGCGGAGAAACCTTAGAGGACTGTCCAGGCAGTTGGCTGTTTCTGTCAATTCACAATTTTTTGGAAGTTGCTTGCATGTACTTGCTGTTTTTATTTTTGTTAGCTAATATTATTTCCTTCTTGGGTCTCTGAGGGAGTTGAAGATTAGTTAGTTATAGGTGAAGATTTATTAGGATAGAATGTGAATTAGATATAATAGGATAGAATATGGAATTATTTTCTCTGAATTTGTCAAATACAAATGAACTAGACATTGTTTAGGTATTTATTACTTGTATATATTGTATATAGTTATTGTACTTTTGTATATAGTTTTTCTTAAGTTAGTTATAAGCTTTTTCCTTTTTTCTTTTTATTAAAATAGAAAAGGGGAAATATGGTGGTATTTTATTTGTACTGAAATGTGATTTTAATTGTATGTTAATGAATAAAGTTGCTCGGGGGTCAGAGCTATTAGAACCATAGCAAAAGCTGGCCATTGGTGGTGCACGCCTTTAATCCCAGCACTTGGTAGGCAGAGCTATGTAGTTCTCTGTGTGGTCAAGGATACAGCCAGCATTTGAGACACACGCCTTTAATCTCAATAACATAGAAGTCCTGGAGGGCTGTATAACAGAGAGTTATGAGGAAGTCATGTGGTTGGTTTTACAACCAATGAGAAGGCAGAACAGAAAGTCTATATAAAGACAAACAGACAGGAAGTAGCCCCTTTTTCGATGAGGTCTCCTGGCTTAAGAGGCTAGCCGCAGCAATGGGGTAAGGCTCTTAGCTCTGATTTCTTGGCTTTTTTCTTTGCACTGGCTCTGTGTTTCTTATTTAATAAGACGATTAGTTACATCTACAGTATTCTATTCTGTGGACACTGGAATGGAAGGCATCATTCTTTCTTGATATTTCATTTGATATTTACTGACCCATGTCATAGAATGTATCAAGCACACAGAATTATGTAAATATATTCTCAATGAAGTGTATATTTACAGTGCAGTCAGTCTCACCATTTCTATTATGTACATATGTGGAATACTTTAGGATGCAGTGACCTATGAGGATGTGCATGTGAACTTCACTCCTGAAGAATGGGCTTTATTCGATCCTTCCCAGAAGAGTGTCTACAAAGATGTGATGCTGGAAACCTACTGGAACCTCACTATTGTAGGTAAGAATGTGAGCTTTCTGTCAGTTTTTAACTTAAGGGAAGAAGCCTTTCTTGGAGATTGGTGCTGTCCTATAGTTTTGAGTGATAAAGAAGAAAAGTTCTGGTGAATATATTAGGCATTGTTCTAAGGTTCATGCAAGACAGTAATTTCAGTTGTTCCTAATTTCCAGTAATATATCACATTTTCTGATACTGTATTTTAGGTTACAAATGGGAAGACCACAATATTGAAGAACATTATCAAAATTCTACAAGACATGGAAGGTAATTTTCACGTGTAAGCTGATTTATATGTATGTCTGTGATAAGTACTGGATTTCTGGTTGCTGGGTTCCTCCATCACTGATGCAATAAGTCAAATCAAACCAAATTAATAAATCCAGATTTAATAAACAGAGCATAGCAAAGCAGAGCACTCCAGGGACTCTCAAGAAGGCATGAGACAGAACAGGAGAGCACCTATGTCAGATCTATGGGCGAGGTCTTAAATAGCCAGTAGGCATGGGCATGGTCCCAGGCATCTCTAGGGCAGGATCTGCCATTGGTGGGCTTTCTTGAATGAGGTCCCCTCTGCTGGAGATTCTAAACATCCCAAATTTTTGGGTATATGTGGTTGCAGGTTCAAGTCTGTGTACTTCCTGCTAGCATGGGACCATGTGGGTTGGGGGTAGTTGGGAGTCAGGTGGGCCCATGCTCAGCAGGGGTATGGGTGGAAAAGCATTTGGATAGCTGCCATCCAGGAGACCTCATGCATCTGTTCATGAGGAGGCAGAGAAAGCGGATTGCTATGAGAAAAATGAATAGCTTTTTATCACTGGCCTTATGAACAGGGATAGCCATTGGTAGTAGGAAGACTGCCAGAAAGAATGCAACTGAGAAGTATCCTGGTTGTACATAAGAGTCAAGGGTGAATTAGTGAGGCATGAGCGCAGATATGCCCTTAATTGGGACATCTTGGAAAATAAAGTTGCAGTTGCTGGGTAGGTGTCTACTTGTGCCTCTAGACGTGGTACCAGCAGTGAAGTTCCAGGAGCTTGTGGAGATGGCATGCTAAATCTTGGGATGATGTTTCCACGAGTACTGGACCCATAGCATCTGCTATTTTTCGGCATGTTTGGAGAGCATCCATCCTGTAAATGTGTCAATAAGAGTTAAGAGATATGGAGCCTTTTTATGAGCAGGCATGTGGGTGAAATCCACCTGTCAGTATTTGTCCAGTTGGCATCCTTTTTGGTGGTTGGCATCCTCAGAGCTGATCTGGGAGCTGGTGTATCTGTAGGGTCCCCTGTGGGTTTGGCCTTGGCCCAGGCAGAAGGAGTGAACGTACAGAATATGCTCCAAAATTCATGGGGTCAAAAATAGGCTTTGGAACAGAAATTAATTTCCATTAAGTCAGACTTCTTTATAAAGTAGCAGAGCCCTTTTCCCAGGAACCTTCAGGTGTCTGTAAAACTACTGGAACAGATTTACATCTTGGTGTCAGAGTACAAAGCTATGACTTTATGTTAAAAGGCATGAATATTTTTAAGTCTAAATTCACTGAAGAACGGTGGTTGTGTGAGTGAAGGAGGAGGGAGTTGAACATGCCTCCAGGGTTCTATATCCTCTCTAATGCTAACCTAGCTCTAAAATGGACCAGTAAAATCCACAGAAATTTAAGGACCCTTGAAAACTGTTTGTAATCAGGGCTTTATCAGTTTGTCAAAACTGCATATATCAAAGCTGAAACTTTGAACCTCTGAAGTTATGTCTGAAACCAGTTTATCCTGCACCACAGAGTCTGTGAATGAGGCTCACCTGTCTTTATTTTTAACAAGAAATGTCCTAATGAGCTACTTAGATGCTTGTAGCCTTGGGATTGAGGGTGCTTTTAAACTGGCAAATCTATTAGTACCCTGGTCATCAAACACCATCAGATGTGAGAAGGATAAGTAAATGAGCAGGAGTGAGCCAGCTTTCCAGTTACCTAGGCAGTCCCAAGTTTCTCCGTGGTCACTGGGCGACAAGTCCCAGAGGTAGCACCTCTTTTGATGCCAAGCACAGAGGATCTGACAGATTCTTTGTGGAATAGAAATTTGGGGAGATTGGCCTACCTGTCTTGACAGAGTGGGACAATTGTTCCCCCTATGCTGTACCTATTCATAGTCTGGACATGATCTCAGCAGCAGTTAAAGGTGTAAAGCAGCTTTTCACTGTGTGGCTGGCTTTGTTACATTTGAGGCAGGCCGCCAGGTGGAAGTTCTTCTGTGGCCATCCATCTTCTGGAGAAGATGCAGGATGCTTCCAGGAGTTGGCATGTCTCTCATAAAAAGCTTTTATATTAAATGCCATATTCTCAGATCTCTGAGTGTTTGAGAATGGGGAAACAAAATCTGTTAGGTAAATCTAAACTAGACAAATGTTGTTTAGGTTTAACTTTGAGGGCATATGTTGGTTAAGTCTAAACATACAGTTTACCCAATTAGTTACAGCTTACCAATGTTAGTAAAACCCAGAAGATTCAGTCTGTAGTTTTCAGTGGTGATCCTAAGATATATCAGGCAAAACCAAGTTTTAACATTGCAAACAATTTGTATTTTAATATCAATGATCAAAAGCAGCATTGTTTTAAATCCTGTTTAATAAACCTTTTTTTAGGACAGGACAGAAATTTTCCAACAGAAATATATCCTAACCCAAATTATATTGGAGACCTAATGTCTCCTTGGTGGGGCCAGTCCAAGTTGTTACCCTTATTAAAGATGGTGGTGAAGTATTTCTTTAAACTCAAGCAAAATGGCAGCTGGTGATGTTCTTTAGAACAGTTTACATGTGAGGTCACAAGCCTTACAGATTTTAAAACATACCCAATTAGCAAGACACATTCAGGACATGTAAACTCAGGCATTCAAAACTAGTCAGAAACACACATGTGTGGCCACACCATTCAGACATTTCTACCACACATAAAAAGTAAACAGGATCATTAAAAGAAACAAAATTTTTTAATGAGGCTCCTCACAGGTCAGGCAGCCTGATACCCAGATCCCAGAGAAGGCGCTGCAGAGGGAAACTGAAAAACAGAGTAGCAGCACATGCTGCCCCGTTGAGTAAGTCAGAGCAGCAAGTTGAGAATTTTGGAAAAAGGGATTTTTAGGAGGGAGGAAGGTGTAGCAGAGTGTATTGAAGGAGAACAGGTTTAAGGGTGGAGTGTGCAGGTAGAATTTTAGGGGTGGGGAGAACAAGAACAGGGACCCCCCCCCCGGACTGCAGTGAGGTGTTGGCGGTGGTGGAGGTTAGTGGTGGTGGTGGTGGTGGTGTGGTGTCGGCAGCATCTCTGGTGGGAGGGAGGAAAGAATGAGGGAGCAAACAGTCAGACAAACAGGCTGGAGACTTTTATGCAATAGTTCAGGGTGTTGAGAGCAGACAGGAAAAAAAGAGAATGGATGTTTAACTGGGAGAATTTCAGTGTTTCCGGATCATATACCAGGAATGAGTGAGGCAGGCAGACAGACAAACAGAACAGGGGAGGGAGAGGAATAGGGGCATTAGGATCACAGTGTGGCCTAACTACACTCCAGGAACAAGATTCAGAGTAACAGGGAAGAGAAAGGAATGGGGATAGTATTCTTGCATCCCCAAATTGGAGGAGACAACCCCAGAGTTTCTGGGGACAGAAATTGGACTCAGCAAGTACCCATTCACAAGCTATTTGCTGGGGATGTGGTTGTGAGGGCAGGTACACAAATCACATCTGGGAGCTGTGTGTGGGGTGGACTCTGGTGAAGTGTCTCTCGCACAGGGAATTCCAAGGGCAGCGACTGTCTCTACCCTGAAACAGGCTGGAGTCACCTGGCACTGCAGTGGCTCAGCAGGCAGTCTGCAGGTTGGAAGAGGTCCTGGACCTTTAAGACATTTTGGTTGGGAATGGGAGGCTTACTGAGCTGTTCATTCAGTGAGGCAAAGGTGGAGTGGGGAGACAGAGTGAATGGCCTTCCACAGCCACACCTCATGGTTGTGGAAGGACTACTCACCCCGGCCAGTGCACCAAAGATAAGTATTGGATCTCAGGTTGTTGAGTTTCTCCTTCACTGGTGCAGTAAGCCAAATCAAACTGAATTAATAACTGCAGATTTAATAAACCGGGCAGCGCAAAGCAGAGCACTTCCAGGTGGCTCTCAGGAAAGCAGGAGACAGATCATGAGAACACCCATGGCAGATGTATGGGCTGGGTCTTAAATAGCTGGTAGGCATGGTCCCAGACATCGCTGCAGGAGGAGCCACGTATAGTGGGATTTCTGCAATGGGGCTGCCTGAGCAGGAGATTTCAAACAGTTTGAAAAAAAATGTTAATGTGCCCTGAACTTTTAATGAGAAGCATCTGTGTAAATAGCCACAGCTTTGTGATGATTATTAAATTGTCAACACCATGTAATCCAATGTCAGGTAGCTGATCACTGTTTGCAAAGCATTCCTCTAAGGACAAGACAAGGAAACAATGCTATAGTAGATGTCACAGTTTCAATCATAGCCATGTAAGAGGCATGTTGTTGAACTGTGCATCCAATTACCATCATGGCTTCCAATTATGATATCATTGATGAGGGTATTAATGTATGTCAAGACCGTTTATAAGCAAAGCTTTAGTATTAAAGCTAGTGTTGCTCATATACTTGTAGTGAGTGATTTAGCATAGTTTAGTGAGAGGAGCACTGTATGAGAGACCAAGAGGTTGTCTTGGTGTAGAAACATGAATATCTATTCCACATCTGTATGACACACAAAACATTTGACTAAGTGACTGTAATGTGAAAACCCTTTTGCTGTGGGATGGTCTGTATGTCAAATGTGTTGCTGATTGGTCAATAAATAAATCACTGATTGGCCCGTGGCCAGGCAGGAAGTATAGGCGGGACAAGGAGGAGAATAGAGCTGGGAAGTGGAAGGCTGAGTCAGGGAGACACTGCCAGCCGCCATCAGGACAAGGAAGATGTAAAGTACCGGTAAGCCACAAGCCACATGGCAAGGTATAGATGTATAGAAATGGATTAATTTAAGCTGTAAGAACAGTTAGCAAGAAGCCTGCCACGGCCATACAGTTTGTAACCAATATAAGTCTCTGTGTTTATTGGGTTGGGTCTGAGTGGCTGTGGGACTGGCAAGTGTCAGAGATTTGTCCTGACTGTGGGCCAGGCAGGAAAATTCAAGCTACACCCTTTATTTGTTATCTTTCTTTAGCCAGTGTGTCATCTGTCACTCTGGATACAAGTCATGTGACAATAAGGGATA